TTCATTCACCCTTATCACCAGAGACTGAAGAGTTGAACAGTGAGAGGGTAAAAATGATGCAACATTTGTAGGCCTTATTTAACTTTTTATCCAATTTAAATGAGAGTCCTTTCTCACAGTGGTCTTTGACTAGAGTCCTTCACACAGCAAGGCTTCTCTCCCAGAGCCGGGGCCTGGAGGGTTAGATCAGCTTTGCTGTTTCCTTACAGAGTGACCAAGGCCATGGTGCAGTGGAAGCTGACTGGACTAGCCATGAGGATCAGTGGAGACAGCCCATCATAAGGAAAAGGCTGCTTCTGGAATGAACATAGCACTACTCGCTTACACTGGTTAAAGGCCTCTACTGGTACAGGCTGTTGCTGGCAAACTTTCACGCTGGTGCAGCTGTAGTGACAGACTCCAGCCACAGTACAGGTCTGTGGAAGGTCCAGGCTGCAGATTCTGGGTGCACTCCCAGTCAGCATGCTTAAGGGCCTCTGTTCCAACCCTGAAATAGACCATATACCGAGACCCTCACCTCTCACGTCCACCAGACTAGCTGAGGACCATGTTACTGAGCTGATTATCTGGGAGACCTGATGTCAGAATGGACCAGAACTGTCAGAAGGAGAATGGACTACCTTACAATACCTTTCACTTGAGAATGAGCTCCAAGAGGCCAAGCCCTGGATTTGTCTGCTTTTCTGTTTTGTCTCCAGGGCCTGGCACATCAGTAGGCACCAAAGATTTCTTGAAGAATAAATTGCCATGGCAGCTTATCTCCTCTGCCGAGTACTGAATGGAAACTTTGACACGCAGTGGGAATGAATTCAGTTCTTGCTAGGGATGGGAGCAGGGCTGCAGAATGAGAGGCAGACTGTAGCCTGATCAAGGGTGATCCAAGTTTTCATTTTAATTTCAGTGTGAGCAGTCTTCTTTATGCCCCGACTAATAAAATGGAGATAAGAGAATTTGGGGGAAGGGAGCAGTGTGCAGTTTAGTTGCCAAGTGGAGGTGGGGCTTTTTCCCATTAGACATCGTCTTGCAGCGGCGAGGCTCAGTAACAGGCTGCTGCTATGCTTGGGGACTAATGCACATCCACACACACGCGGGCACACACATGAGATCTCGAGGAGGTGAGTAAAAAGAACACTTCTTGTTGTAAACTTTCAGCAGAAAATAAATAATAAAAATTCATCTGAGTTTCTAAAGGGTTGTGTGAGACATAATCCCTCAGGAACAAATCATATGTCCCCCAGACAGATGACAAGAAGGACAGAGAATTGATTTTCATTTCACCTGGAGTTAGAGGGCTGTACTCTGGCAGGACTGATGCATTTATGGCAACAAATAGGTGTAACAGCTTGGGCTTTCTGTCACCTCCAGTTCCTCAAATGTGAACCCCAATTTCAGCTTGGTTTGTGAAGACTTCACATTTAGGGGGACCAGTGGTTTCATACTGCCAGTGAGGTGTTTCCTCAAATGTTAACCCCAATTTCAGCTTGGTTTGTGAAGACTTCACATTGAGGGGGACCAGTGGTTTCATACTGCCAGTGAGGTGTTTCATCTAGCCCTTTTGGATCAATGAGGGAGGCTGATTTCCTACCCCCAGAATGGCTGCCCCACTTGCCTTTACCCCACGTCAAGCCGTAGAAACCATACACTTTCTGCCCACTGCACCAGGGGCGGAGCTGATCAGAGGCTTTCATTGAGTCCTTACCTACCTTAGGCATTTGAGATGGGCCCTCAGGGGCATCTGGAAAAGAGAGGAGAGGTAAATTCCAGAGCAAGTATTCTGATTCACGGCATACCTGGGGCAGACACAGAGGGGAGAAATGAAACATAAACCTGTGTTCACAGTTGTCTAGTGAAAGCAGACATGAAGCAAGTTACCTTAAGCTCTAGAGCAGGGAACAACGGATTCTGGGAAGGGACTAGATAGCGTGGTAGGAGGCACTTCCAATAGGAGATAAGTAAAGTGAGTTTTGAAAGATAACACGGACATGTGGATGTGTGTGTGTGTGTGCGCGCATGTGCACGTGGGGTCGGGGGGGTGGATTCCAAGCAGAATTCAATGTGTTAAAGGCACAGAAGTATAAAATGGGAAGGCCCAGAGGCCCAGAAGCAATTTGTACCTATGGAGTATGAGGTGCAGTAGGCGAAGAGGGTAAGGGAGGTGAGAAAGCAGGGGCTTGGTGCTGTGCTAAGGAGTTTTGGTTCAGTGTTCTCTTGCAGATCATCTGGGGCTGGGGAAGGGTTTTTAGTCAGGCTGCGAAGCAGTCAAGCTTGTTTTAGCTCCATCACTCCGGCAGCTGCTTGTGGATGTTCTGCTGGTAGTCAGTGGTAATAAGGCAGGGCAAACAGTTGGAAGACTGTGGCAATAGTTTCTGAGACACTGATGGGACGGCTGATGGCACTAAGGAATATGAGGACAGGTGACCCGGCCACTGTGCCTCGGTTGGTCCAATTTATACACTAGGCTTATTAGGAACTTGTGAGCCTTCCATGGGCTGTCAAAAAAGACATGGAAGGTACATTCAAGATCAGCTATTCTTCATGCATACACGAAGGCAAATATAAAGAAGGAAGAAGATAAAAGTAAATCCAGGAGAACAAAGTCCTTCCTGGGGGTCTCCAGTTTCCTAAAAGCTCAGACCTGCTGGATTTAACCGTGATGCTGAGAAACGTAAACTGTCCACCTAGCTCAGCACAGCAGCTGCCTGTGGGGGGATACTCCAGATGAGAGGCTTCTTATTTTTCCCTTCAAGACAGCAGCCTCAGTGATAGATCAACTGGGCCAGCCTCATTCCCCTCCAACATCCATAGCCCTGGCCTGCAGTCCAAAACTGTACTGCACTGACCTCCCCAAGCCCCTCTCTCTCCCTGATGAACATGGGGATGTTAGCTTGGACTGCAATTACATTTTGCTTGAGAAGTGGCACTGACAATCAGGAGTAAACTGATTGCTCACAAGAACTCAGCAGCCAGCCAAGGGGAGACACTGGAAAGTGGGTGGGGCAAGCAGGCTGTCTGGTGCAGTCACCACTTGACTTGTAATGCAAAAGCCTTAAAGAAATGGAAAGTTGTTTCCTTTCCTCTGGCAGGGAAGGAAGTGGGGTCTTCTCTGGGCCACAGACCAGGCCACTCTGGAGTCACTAGCAATCTCTTGGCCCACCAGAAGCTCCTCCACACCTTCTGCTTCATAGGATGGGCTCACCAAGCAAAGTAAGAGGAAGCGATTCACTTAGTAGTTTTCTTCCCAAACACTTAAGCCGCCATGGTGTCACAAATCTTGCAGCCTTCCAGTAAAAGGGGCCGATGCCGAGCATTCTGAGGCTCTCAGAGTCTGAGAGATTTAGTTCACTTCCTCCTGATAGAGATGTGGAAACTGAAGCTGAGGGGCAGGAAATTCCAGAGTCCCAGGGATCACGGTCCCTCCTCCCAACCCAGTGCATGTTCTGCTCGGTCCATGTTGTCCTTCTTTCATTCTGCATTCAAGGCCTAATGTGCAAGAGCTGGAAACAGAAATGGTCTCTGGGGCTCAGGCGTTCACCCCAGGCTGTGCTTGGCTTACAGGTGACCGTAGCTTTCACAGCCCTTCTCAGTTGTAAAATTGGGGGGGGGGGACAGTCACCTCACCACTTCACCAGCAAAGCTGTTGTGAAGGTTACCGAAAATCACTTCTCCAAGTGATGTCTTGGTGGCACCACCCAGCAGGTGCTCAATAATGGTGGGCTGGAGACGTGCATGTGGCCGCCCTTGGGGAGGAGCCAGTGTGTGGGGCTGGGGCCCTGGACAATGCCCTGGGAGCCCTTGGTGGTCTGGCAGGGTGGCTGGCCCTCCCCATCCCCTGAGGAATTGGTGGGGGGGGGGCTTCAGCGAATATTCCCTGGTCCGTCTAGTATCCTTTCAAGCTCAAGACACAGCTGAGGACACTACAAACCAACCATCACAGAAAATCTGACGTGGCTGTGGGCTGGTCGTGGGGACCTAGACCACGGAAGACAGGAGGGCAGGGGTGACCGCCCCTTGTCTGCCCAACTCCATGTGTGTGTGAGGACACAGGCATCTGAGGAGGTCACCTGTCTCTTGGGCTCTCTTCCCCAGGAACTGTCCTCCCCCAGCCTCTTCCTGAAAGTAGCTGGGGTGCAGCTGAGAAGCAATGACCCACTGACCCTTGTCAGGAAGCCTGGCAGCCTCCAGGCCTGCTAATGGGCCCCAGGGCAGGTTCCTTCCCCTCTCCTAACCTCGGGGGTCCTCATCCGGGACAGGAGGATGGCAGTTCCTCCCAGAATGTTTATATTCATGAAACAGTGCCTGGAACTACCAGATGCAAGCTGTTTCCCCTCAGCTTTCTGGAACAATCTGGTCTTTCCTCTCGCATGAAACAACCGCCTCTCCAGGCTCTCCATCTTCGCCACCACTGAGGCCGCAGTCCCCTCAGCCGCCGGCACTCGTCCCTCGCGCTCGTTCCCAAAGGCCCACCAGGGGGCGCCATTTGCCCGCCAAAACCGCCCGGGTTGTAACTCCAGGGGCCGGGGTGGGCTGCCCCTTTGCGCAGGGCGGGGCAGGGTCCGGGCTGCGTCCGGGTCCCCCTGAGGCCGTAAAACCGCAGAGGCAGACCCTGACCTGGGGCCGATCGGCCGCGCGCGCCCTTCGCGCCCCTGCCCGGCGCCTCCCGC